CAACATTCTTTAGGAGATGGAAAAAGCAATCACTAATTTTGTATGGAAAGGAAAGAGACCTTGGATAAACAAAGCACTGTTGAAGAAAAACACAGTAGGAGGTCTCACACTCCCAGATCACAAAACCTACTATACAGCTACAGTAGTAAAAACTGCGTGGTATTGGGTACAGCAGACACAGAGACCAGTAGACTAGAATTGAGAACTCAGAAATAGATCCACTGACCTAAGGTCAGCTGATCTTTGACAAAGGGCTGAAATCCATTAAATGGGGAAGAGAAGGTTTGTTTAATAAATGGTGCTGGCAAAACTGGATATCCATTTGCAGAAAAATGAAACAAGATCCATACCTCACACCACACACAAAAACTAACTCCAGATGGATCAAAGACTTAAATGTGAAACCTAAAACTACAAAGTTCCTCAAGGAAAAACTAGGGGCAAATTTAGGGGCCCTATTATATGGCATAAATAGACTATCAAGCATAACCCAAAATGCACAAACAGCAGAAGAGAAACCAGATGATTGGGACCTTCTAAAATTAAACTTTTATGTGCTTCAAAAGACTTCTCCAAAAGAGTCAAAAGAGAAACGACAGATTGAGGAAAAATTTTGGTAATAACATACCTGATTTATCTCTAAAATTTATAGAAAACTCCAACATCTCAACAACAAAAAGACAAACAATCCAATTAAAAAATGGTCAGAAGATATTAATAGACACTTCACCAAAGAAGATATTCAGGTGGCCAACAAACACATGAAGAAATATTCACTATCATTAGCCCTTAGAGAGATGCAAATCAAAACAACAATGAGATACCATCTCACTGCAGCACTAATAGCAAAGTTCAACAAGACAGAAAATAACAAATGCTGGAGAGGATGTGGAGAGCTTGGGACTCTCATACACTGCTGGTGGGGCTGTAAAATGATACAACCACTGTGGAAATCACTATGGCAATTCCTTAAAAAGTTGGGATTAGATATACCATCTGATCCAGCAATCTCATTACTAGGTATATATCCTAAAGAAGTGAGAGGCAGGATGTTGTTGTTGTTGTTGTTATGTGCTGTCAAGTCGGATCCGACTCATAGCGACCCTTCCTTGGGTTTCTGAGGCAGTATCACTACGGAAGTAGATTGCCCCATCTTCCTTCTCAGGAGTGGCTGGTGGGTATGAACTGCCAGCCTTCTGGTTAGCAGTCAAGTGCCTTAGGCACTATGCTACCAGAGCTCCTTGGATAAGAAAAGATATATGCATACCCATGTTCATCACAGCACTATTCACAATAACAGAGAGATGGAAACAACCTAAGTGCCCATCAACAGAAGAATGGATAACCAAACTATGGTACATACACACAATGGAATACTATGCAACACTAAAGAATAATGTAGAATCTGCGAAACACCGCATAACGTGGATGAACTTAGAGGACATCATGCTGAGTGAAAGAAGTCAATCACAGAAGGACAAATATTGTATTAGTTCACTATTATAAAAAGTCAAGGGAAGGTATATATATGGAAGAAAGCTTTCTTTGTTGGTTACCAGGGGATGGGAGGGGAGGGGAGGAAATACTGCTAGATAGGTAGAGACAAGTATTGATTTGGGTGAAGGGAAGGGCAACAAAGCAAAAGTGAGTGATCAACACAATGGCGCTGAGGAGGAAGAAGACATAGAAAGGTACATGGGAGGTTTAGGCAACAAAGATGAACCCTTCTACATGTACAGTACTGCACTGTCAGTGATGGCAAGCACTGATCTACAGGTGGATAGATGGGGGGATAGGCTGAACAATTAGGTATGTCTGTTGTTGTTGTTATGTGCCGTCGAGTCGGACCCGACTCATAGTGACCCCTCCTTGGGTTTCCTAGGCAGTATCACTACGGAAGTAGATTGCCCCATCTTCCTTCCGAGGAGTAGCTGGTGGGTTTGAACCGCCAGCCTTCTGGTTAGCAGTCAAGTGCCTTAGCCACTACGCTATAGGTATGTCTAGGCAGGGGGAAATGTGCCCACGACCATGTATAGGGTTAGCAGAAAATGTTTCTACATATGTATTTATATGTGCTGTAAGGATGGCTGGGTATATAGTAGAGCTGACAAGGGGCAAGGCTGTGGTGGCTTCTTGGTCACAGCAGCTACCCTGAGGGAGCAAGTAGTTGGACCTGTGGGTTCAGGACCATGGTCACAGGGGACATCAACCTCAATTGGCATACCATACTACACAAAAACATTGTTCTACATCCTACTTTGGTGAGCAGCAACCAGGGTCTTAAAAGCTTGCAAGCAGCCAGCTAGATCCAATGATGGGTCTCTCCACATCTATAGCAAAAAAGAATGAAGAAAACCACGCATGGAAACAATTAGTCCAAGTAAATGGTAGACCACGAGATCCTCAGACTATAGAACCATGAGACCAGAAGAACTAGATGGTGCCCAGCTACTACTATCAACCACTCCGATGGGGTCACTGCAGGAGATCCTGGGTAGAGTGGGAGAACAATGTGGAACAAAATCAGAATCACTAAATAAGAGACCAGTTTGTTGGTCTGATAGAGCCTAGTGAGACCCCTGAGAGTATGGTCCCTAGTTACCTACCCTTCAGGTCTGGAATTGAACTCACTCCTGTGGTTTCCAGCCAAACAATAGACAGGCATATGAGGTGAACATTTACATCAGGAAGATACACTCCTTGGAGCGATCAATCATGGGAGAACAGAAGGGCAGTGTTTGCACAGGGAAATAGCTCGGGGGGCTGGAAGTGCATGGGAGGTAAGGACACAGGGAAGAAGTAACTATGGGGAGGAAGCGGAAAGAGAGCTGTTACACTGTGGGGAATTGCAATGTCATGAAACAAAATGTGTATGAACTGCTGTATGAAAAATGAATTTGTGCTTCTAGGACTTCAGCTTCTACTCCCACTGAAATTAAAGAAGTCCCCTGCAGGTTTTTGGTGATGAAAAAAAAAAAAAGAATTTGCTCTGTAAACTTTCACCCAAATCAAAATAAATTTTTTAAAAAAACTCAGTGAAGTGGCTGGATAAAAGATAAATATCCAAAACACAACAGCTTTTCTGTAAACTAATAATAAGCAATTAGAATATAACAGAAAAAACATTTCACTCACAATAGCAGCAAATTAACAGGTAAAATCTATCATAAGATACTTAACCGAAAAAAAACTGCATATAATGAAGATGTAGTACCTTTATAATCAGAAAAAAATATTTAAAAACCACTTACTACCAACATACAGACAATGGGAAAGCACCAATTTACAGTAAAATCAGGCCTGCCATACATATAACCCAGGGTCCTCCCGCTGCAACACACTCTGTACCCAGAAAGTTTACGTATAAAACCCAAGGATGGAGATAACATCTACTACCAGTCCTCATCCTGTTGACCTCGAGTAGATTCAGACTCACAGCAACAACAGGACAGAGGAGAACTGCCCCAGAGAGTTTCTAAGGCTATAACCTTTACAGAAGCAGACTGCCTCATCTTTCTCCAGCAGAATGGCTAGTGGGTTCGAAACACCAACCTTTCAGTTTGCAGCTGAGAGCTTTAACTACTGTGCCATCAGGGCTCTTTTTTTTCAGTGCAAATATTACTGAATGGGCAGGAATAAAAAAGGATTTCATTCAAGTGGTCACTTAACTATGTTTCCTTTATGATGCAGTGTCTTGACTCTAGACACAACAGTGCATGGCTAATTTCTACAATGTGGGACAGGTTACACAACAAAACCAATGCTGTCAATTGAGTGTATGTCAGAGAGGAGAAAAGGCACAACTCACTTTAGCTCTTCAGCTTTAGATTAAATACCTAACTCCACACCAAGAACAGGATATTTCTGTATCTTATTTCAGCAGCGATGTCAGTAGCTACTGAACTGCCCTTGCTCTTAATTTTGTTTTTTCAGTGCTATTTTTCCTTCTCACTTCTCAGCAGAACAGGGCATAGGTATTAAGCTATTTTCTCTCTTGGATACTTGCAGTAGAAGCTAGCAACTGGGTTTACCTGGCCTTTCAGGATCAACCCTTAAAGCTTCTAAAATCCATGACCAAAGAAAACAATAATAAAACCAGAAGCCGAAAAAGACAACTTAAGCAGGTCAATGTAAACTGATGGTGCTAAGGTCAGGAAGTGTGTTTAAACAAAATTATATATAGCCCATAGACCCTAGCTAAGTGCCAAGCCCCATTTATTCCAGTGTTAGCTGATAAGGTGACCTGTTTGATTTAAATTCATGGGCTCAGATAGTCTTTTCCATAGTAACCTCAGAGCCGTCACAGTAGCCGAGTGCCCATTTTCTCTCCTCCATAACACAGTACAGTTAGGTGATAAATAAAGAACAGCTTGTACAGAAAGTCAATGATGATTTGCTTCAAACAGATAAAAATGAGAGAACAGAAGACAGCAAGAAGGAAGACCATGTTCTCTCTGATAAAGAATCAGATGTGTTGAAGAGACCAAGCATAAAAAAAAAAAGACGAAAAATACTTCAAGAAAAAAAGGTATGCTGAGGAAAAGTAATTGAATGGGCTCTGCAGCCTGCCAGAATAATAAAATAAAAAACAAAAATAATAATAGGGTAAATATCAAAGCTGAAAACATTAACAGAAGTTAAAAAAATAAAATAACAAACAAGCCATAAACCTCAAGTTCTTTAAATAGTTTATTAGGCCTTCCTACAATTGTCAATTCAGTGACAATGATTTAACTGATAACAAGAATTTTGGTAGCTTAGAGAAGTTCAGCCTTAAAAAAGCAGATCATGTTTTCAAGTTGGATAAAGATTCATGCTAGCTTAAATATTTTTTTAGCATTCCTCCCAATGCTAATGTATGGCTGCTTTAAGAAAATGAAGACTAATACAGGATAAGAGGGTAAAATAAAAGATGGGCCAAAAAAGGTGTCTTACATAAAGTAGGTATTCAAGTAAATATTTGTTGAATGAAAATCAACTCCATGCAGAAAGATACTCACTGTTTGAGGCTATGTCAATCAGAAGTGTTTCTTCTGCTTCTGAAGGGGAAAAAAAAACTGGATCAGGGCAGAGAAGACCATTCATTACAACCAAAAGAATTATATGCTTAAGTACATAACTGCTCTCTTAGTCACCACTCCTAGGTCTTGGAACACACACACAAAAAAAATTC